TGCAATAAACCATTGTTATAAATACATAATACACATTCGTTTTATAGCAGTTTACTTCATTATATATTTTATTTTCTGTTGATTTCCCACTTAATAAATAGTTTTTGCGGAAAGTAGTTTGAAGCTAATCTGTCCCTACCATTAATTAAATATAATTTCTATTGTGAAGCGGCAGTTCCCGGACATTTATGAAGAGTGGTGGCCGCGTCAGGTACCACAATCCCGCACTCCAATTAATAAAGTATAAAAATCGCTAAAATAAAATGCTCTGATGGAGATTACAAAAAAGGAAGAAAAAAAAATGTTGTAGATACAAAGCGTACAATACATTCAATACAGACAGACTTCTACATCCTCTTCTAGAAAACAATTGGCAAAAAAAACGAATCCAAATAGAAGTGACTGTTTCGTCGGCGACCCTCTGCTTTCTAGCTGTCTTCCTCGTCCAGCGACTGGAAACGGTTTGCTGCCGAAACGGGCGCCGAAACTGGCTCGTGGATGCGCTGCAACCGGCCACCGTGTCGAACTTCCTCAAATGCTGGCTCATTTTTCTTTTTTCTTTGCTCTTCCGGCCGTGCGGCGCTTAATGAAGGGAAGTACTCTGCGTTAGTAATGTCAGGTGCTGCTCGATTGCGCGCCTTCAAGCGCGGCCCAGGCGCTGCTCCCGCTTGCTAAAAGGGTATAAACAAAAAAAATTAGTTTGGAATTTGCGAAGTTTATTTTTACAACTGACGTGGCAAATATTTGCAAAAACAATGAAATGTTTATATGGAGTACTTACCGCTGCTCGTAGGGCAGGTGAAATATAAACAGTTGACTTCGGTTTTTCTATTTCCATCGGAATTTGTGTTACTTCCTCAGCAGGAATAACCTTTTTCCATGGTCCACCGCCACTGCGCTTCGAGGTATTATTTTCGACAGTCACGTTACCATCACTATCCACTTCGTCTTCTTCACCTTCGCCAGCACTCTCGTCATCATCGTCGTTTACCGTAAGTTGTCCAATTTTCAGACCTGTATAATCTTTACGTTGCTCTTGCTCAAAATCATCCCATTCTTCTTCAGCTTGCGGCTATAATACACAAAAAGATTCACAAAAACAACAAGGAATTAAGAGTACAAAATGATTATAAATAAATTCCCTCATCACTAACCTGTTCCACCACCTGCTTAACAACGATTGGTTCCTCAGGAGCACCTGGTGCAACAGTCGGTGCAGCGTTGGCTGCTTCCAACTTTTTTGCTTTGGCTATAGCCGCAGCAGCTGCCGCCTCGCGTTCTAAGTTCTTAACCAGTTCCTCTGCAGTTAAGAATTTTGGCTTGGCCTTGGACTTCTTCTTGTCTTTCTTGGCGAAGAAATCATCTAAGTCGGCCATGGTGTCGTTATGGTGCACTCGCAAACACAGAAGCAGTTGCTGCCGCCGTCAACTATACAAAAAAGTTAGCGAAATTCGAAATTTTGTAAACTCAATGAAAGTTTTTGCAAAACAGCGTGCGTGCAAAGATTGCTTACCACTTGCGACTTTATAAAAGAAGGAATTTGCTTTGAAGTTGACAGCTAACGAAAGTAACGAGACAACTAACAAGCGAGTAAGTGAAAGTGGCAAACAGCCAAGGTTGCATTTTTTTTGCGAGCTGGTGGAAATTTTGTTTAGTGTGAGGCTACACTATGCGATTCACAAATAATTCTAACTCCCACGTGCGATTAATAACAAATCGCAGCAATACATATTGTCACTTGCAGGTCTATTCTGCAAATTCCGAATATATTTATATACAAAAATTATGGACTTTTTTATGGAATTCTGGAATTTCATATTTTCGGGTATAAGAAAGGGTGCAAAATATACCTGCTGGTATTAGTTTTAATCTTGAAACTAAAAAACTTGATTGAACAATAAATGCATTTAATAAATTTCAACAATATACTCAAAAATCTAATAAATTGCTCTAGCTATAAGGGTAAAACTCTACAAGAACCTTTCTATGAAAATATCCACCACTTCTCAAACTTTAAGTTCTTTGTTCTGCTTTAAGGTGAAACTCCATAGACAAGGCGTATGCGTACGTATGCGAGATCCGTTGTCATGCGCTTACATGGGTAAAAACCGAGCAACTCCATAGGGTGCCCTTACAAGCGTTTGACAGTTGCCATTTCGACAAGTTGATGCATCTCTCATACACACTTTTGTATATTTATAAAGAAAATGCTTACAAAACCGCCAAATTTTCTACCAAAATATGTATATGGATTTATATATACCCAAACGTGTAGTGTAATTACCTTGAAGTTGGTTATCTACGCGAGCAAATGCATGAAAGTTGAGAAAATTCAACCTTGTACGCATTCGAATGCATACCTATTCGAATTCATGCTCGAATTTTTTTCCGTTCTGTGCGTTTACGCGTACTTATGGAGTTTATAACATAAGAACATGTGTATAGAACTCGGCTGTCAAACGCACACACACGCTTGCCTACGGAGTCCCAGCTTTATATTGCGAAGTTGTACTCAATATTTTACAGGTGCTTTTCCGGCGTTCCGCGCCCTATTTAGCTACAAGTCTTAAAGTGAAAGTACATACCATCCATTGCGTCACCATCACCGTCACCATCACCGTCAGGAATGCTTATGCGCCAAGCTACACACTATCGGTTTGAAGCTGCGTCCGAAAAATCATAAACTCGCTGCTTTGCAAAATTTGCGTTTTACTTTTGCACTTCTTCTATTAGGTATTCCTCCATCAATTTTCAAATTTCGTTTTTCTATACATCTAAAGCTTTTCACAAACTGGAAAATTTTACGTTCAAACATGTAAACAAAACACAGAATAGTTGTCACTTGACGCAAATGCATAAGCAAAATTGAAAGTTGAGCTAGTTTGTGCGTCACCGACTCCATCAGCTTTGTACATGTAACTTACTTCATACAAATAAATCGTTTCAACTTTTTTGACAACTGCCGGTGACGGTGACGGTGCCGCAATGTACGTTATGTACTTTCACTTTTAAGGTATCCACACACCTACGCTATTCTGTCGGTGCGAATCTGTTCCTACAAATATTACAACAATGCCGATCATAGTTTTAAATGAGGAACCACACACTTGTACGATTTTGCTGCAGCGATTTATTCGAACATTCACATTTCTTCTTTTGGTCGTACCGAAATCGCAGACTGCCGCGTTTTGAGAACGAAAAAGGTTAATAGAAAGATTTTACAATAATAAAACAAAATTGAACGTAAGAAAACAAAACATGTAGAAAAGGTAAGCATTTTATTTTTGTTGAAAAATACTTTTTGTTTGTTTATATATTGACAGGTTTTGCTGCGATAAAATCGCACAGATATGTGCGCACTTGCGTTTTCGAAGCAGTAACGTCTGTAGCATCAAAAACGGCGCGGAAAAAACTTTGAAAACGAGTTTTGAGATTGTGGGCTGTACGCTGTTCGCACCGGCTGTTATTGTTTTCGTTGATATTTCTTTCAGTTTTGCTACGAAAACACAAAACCAAAATTTTTTCTTTCATTTTCTTATTATTAGCAACCTATATCTTTTATTTATATTTTAATTTGACTAGCCAATTAGCAATAAAGGCCAAAATACAATAGCGCAGTTGCAGTGGCAGTGACAGCATTTAAAATCAGCTGGTACTACTAATATTGGCAGTCACTGCCGCAGCAAATACAATACGGCGTTGTCAGTGACAGCTTTTTTTGACATTCCCTTTTGTTTGTTTACATTTTTGTTGTTGTCTTTTAGGCTTCAGTGACATGAACAGAAGTTGGCTGCATTTTATTTATGTAAAATTCAGCATGCGAAATTTGCTGTGATGATGAAGGCAGTGGCAGTGAATTTAGAATTTGGGCTAAACTGAGCAGTACTGCCAGCTGCCACTGCTGTATTGTGAGTCGCTTCATTGGACACCCCACTTTCTAAAAAACAGATGATTTCGAAAAACTGTCACTGCCACTGCGTTATTGTATTTTGGGCTTAAACCCCAACTAGCATATTAGACATGACAAAATATGATTTCCACTTCGATAAATATATCTAAAAAACTAGTGAAGACACCAGTTGGAAGGAGTGGAACGTGAGTTTTCAAGTAGTTTTCAGCGAAAACTGGTTTTCGTTTGATAGATTTATCATGGACGAAAACACAAGTTTTAGGTCGAAAACCAGTTTCAGCAACGAAAACGTGTTTTCGATGGCAGTCCGATCATGGTATTATTAGAAGAATAGAAGGCTGAGAGCTTGAAAGGGTTGAGTGGGATTAAGCTGGCATCTGAAGAAGTGGTTGGTGTCGTGCGGGGGTCTCCACAAGCCGGCACTCGTTGGGGATATTGGAGTCGGGTCTGTACAGGTAGCTGTTGAGACGGCTGCAATATCCAGACCGTAAGTGGGCCAGGTAACACGGGTCTTTCTTAGCAATTGAAGCCCCGTGTCTGCGACAGTTGGTGATTGTGGTGAGTACCTCCCTATGAATTCCATTGATCACTTGTCGGTAAGTCGGCGGGTCCTGTGGTTGGTCAATGTATGTCTGGACCGCGTGTGTGTATTCGAATAGATGCCCTCTGATGTCCCTTGGCGGATGCTCCTCCACCAAAACTGCTTGCTGGGCATTTTGTTATGCTCCCTTAGTCTGCGTTCAAACACGGAAACTCGAGTTTCTTATTATCGGCGATTTCTCTTTTGGTGTTGCCCTTTGCATTCACACACAGAAACTCTTTTGTACGCAATTGTTGTTGTCAGCTGTGAATCGCCAACTTGAATTACTCAGACGAACGAGAGCACAAAGCGTGTTTCCGCAACAAAAGTTTTCGTGTCTGCACGTCGACTTACGGGAAGCATTTGGGCCTCGCTATTCAGGTGGTGCTCAGGAGAGCGGCGTTCTGAAAAGTCTCTAGCTTCGTCCACTGCGTCCAACTAGTCCACGGCGCCCAAACAGGCGCAGCATAGTTCAAAACTGGCCGGCCAATTGCACTGTGTGTTTCCAGCAACGTTTATTTGCCTTTGCCCCAAGTGCTGCTGGCGAGAGAATTGAGGAGCTTGTTGCAGCTCTGTACTTTGCTGACAAATGCGCAACTATTATGAAGACTGCTACCTCTTTGATCTTGCTCTGGAGTTCGTTGCAATTCAGTTGTAGGAGTTGGTTGCGCGAGCTGGTAGACGTGGAGGCGGTTAGTGCCGTTAGGCTTAAACAACAGGGCGCAACAGAGGGATTCAGTGATCGAATTTTCGTAGGTTTCACGAAAATTTAACTACGGTGGATTCGTTTGGCAGTCTTGCTGTTGTTCCCTCAAGGCGTCTTCCTTTCTCAAAAGCTTCAATTATTGTTGTTCGTAGAATGGCGGCACGTACTGCAATTGAGTGATGCTGAGAGAATAAATGGGGAAGGGGACGTATATTCAAGAAGAAGAAATGAGAAGCAGGAACACGTTAGTGTGAAGGGCTTAAGATGCCGGCAGGCAGCAATCAAATGTTTTCAAGACCGTGGCTTGCGAAGACGAAGGTGGTTATTTGATAACAGCCGTCCAAAATACACTTGCCTTATGTATAGAGAAACACTTTTAAATGCTATGTAATATAGACAAATGTATTTAGTGCGGTAGATGAAAAAGAACCCGAACCTATGAGTAGGGACAAAGCTCGCGTCCCTCCATTCGACCAAGATGATTTGAGAACAGCAATAAAACAGATTGAAAACACGGGCTGAGCGAATCAAAGCCGGCGGAAAGAGGCTGGCAATTTGGCTTGATGAATAATTTCCCGTTCATAGGAACCTTGTTCTACTTTTCGTCACAGTTTTCCGTTACAATTTAGAAGTAGACCTCGTCAACCTAAAATCCAACATTAACCCTACCAATATTGTTAACCTAGAGTGAAAAAAAACTATTGCTAACGGAGACTACTATGGGTTCGGAGATAAATTAGAAAGGAGAGCTCTCTCGGGACGAGCAAAAGTCACGCTCTACAAATCCTTCACCTTCTACATGGGCGAATGCGAACAAAGATGTGAGGACTTTGTCGACTTTCTCGAAAACTATTATACGCAAGATCTATGACTCTACCTGCATAAATGGCAAGCATCGAAGAAGTTGTTATGACGATCTATCTGAGCTTTATAATGTCATAGACATAGTCGAACGCATAAGAATACAGCGATTTTGCTACCTAGGACATGTCGAATGTACGGTGAGCAATGAACACAAGGATTCCGAAAGATCAAGCACAGAAAGATCTGTCTCACTCGGAATGCGAAACTACTTGTAAAATAAAACATGCATGATTTATAACTTTGCGCTTTTCACCTTGTTTAAAAGATTTTTTGGTAGAAATCTCAATATCTCTTTGATGAAAGTTAGGAATATACTATTTGGGACCGCATCTGACTTTCGAAAGTCTGACTGGAGCACCAACAGAGGTTGATGGTTGATGTTACCAACGAAATACATACATTACATTTGCATTCCCACGACAGCCGGTTCTACGTACCGGAATGACTCGGGTTTTACCCGACCAAGGGCTGTTGTTTCGGCGATCTAACCCCGTTTAGGTCGGCGAAGTATCTCAAAAGTTGTT